CTTTTTTGATGATTCTTCTGGGGTTTTCTCCTTAATTTAAAAGAAAATTACTGATTATTATGATAACAAAAGAGAACAGAAAGTATTCAGCTATTTATCACTTTACTGATAAGCAATCAAGTAGCAACACACACAATACATTCCAAATGACAAACACAGCATGTTCAAATAAGGAATATTCATGTCTGATAGGGTTTCACAGATTATGTATTTAAGTGTGTAAGAAAAAGACAAGTTACTTGCTTGGAAGAAGACAAAGTCTGCCTCAATGTAAGAAATGAAATTACTTCCTTAAATTAACGTTGCAAGGAGCTATGCTACCTCATAGTTGAATTTTGCCTTGACATTTCTTAATGTTCTGAGACATTTCTTCTAGTCATACATCTCCATTAAAAGCAAATGTATCAGTGCTGTAAACCCAATTTGAAAATGTGCTAGAAAGCTTGTGAAAGCAATGATAAACACGCAGATTTCTCCCCGTAATTTCCAGCATGTCAGGTTTATTTGTTCTTGATTTTCATGGTCCAGGTCTTCTGGAATAATTGGATACTGTGACAGAGTTCTAAAAATATAATATAATAAATACCTCTATTAATTTAAAGCTGAAAACCACTGAACTTAAAATTCATGAGTTCTTGGCAATTTCAGACCAGGAGTAACTCAATGTCAAAAGCTAATGGACAGTTTTAACACAGAAAAGCTTAAACAATATAATGACTTCAGTGCACACCCCAGCAGAGGACACATCTATGGGACACCACAAAACAAACCCCATCTTTGAAGTTAATTGAAACAAATCTGCTTGCTCTAGCCATGCTTCCTAAGCGTTCGCAGAGAATCGCAGCAGTTTTCTGCCTCTGTATTGGATCTAAGAGTTCATATTCGTTTGCCAGGCGAGGGAACGTGGAGCAGCAGAGTCAGTAGGGCATCTGACTGGGCTACAGCAGGACAGGCACGCGTGTCCGTGTCCTCCCAGGGATCAGGTCAGACGTACCTCCGACCCAACACTACTGTGGGTGGAGGGTATCAAACCCATACCACGGAGGATATAAAAGGCAACCAAGCCTGTCTCTATTCTTTCTTTAGTGCCTTACCATTGTACTGGGGAATGGACAGAAATGCAGTTGAAGAATGTGCTTTCAGATCAGGCTGCCCATTATTCCAGACATTTTTTCTTCCTACTCTTTGTTTCTCCTTTTTTTCCCTCTCACTTTTCACACCTCCTCCTTCCTTCTCTGTGCATTTTACCCACCACATTGGCATAGGCAGGCTTCATTTCCCAGTTTATTTTCCATGCGAGCATAAGCAATAAAGAAATTAAGACTTAACTTTGGAGTATCATTTGTCTTTAGATCACTCCTCTGAGGGTAATTGTCGCTCTGTAATAGCAATTGTTTCAGGCTGTTACAAATTTAGCAGACAACAAACACTGGTTTATTCTGAATTGCCACCTGGAAAGTTCGCTGCCACGCTGAAGGCTAGAAATGTTGACCAAGGTCTGATCTCAGTGGGCATATCTATACTGGAAATGGGATTCAGATAAGACAAAGATGCTTCTGTTATTCCAATTCCTTTCCAAATGCAAAGCTTGTCAACTGTGTATAGCTGGTTGAACACACAACCTTGATCCCCCATGGGGAAAGTGAACCATACGGGAGCAGAAGAGTGAACGTTGCCCTCAGTGCTCCCCAGGCTGCAAGGCATGGAGCTGAGAAAGGCACCTGGACTGTTGGTGAGCTGGCTCACAGCACCATCCCCGAAACCATCCCCGTGCACAGCTTCTTTCAAGCTCAGGGTAGCAAGCTGCTTCGCCGTACTGACACCCCAAGGAGGGCACACTCACCAAATTAAGTATAAATGCCTTGGTACTGGGTGATGTGCAGTTCTCTGTAGGATTCTTGGTGCCCTCAGCAATGACTATGTTTTTATAACATACTGAAAGTGAAAAATCTGTGGCAAAAGGAACAGCCAGCCTGGATTCAAACAGGATTCATGACAAGTTATATGAGGGGGAAAAAATGCAAGAACAGCATATATAGAATAAATAAAAGCATATATAGAATAAATAAAAGCATATATAGAATCAGCTACTTATCATGCCTTCAAAAGTCAAGTGCTGTAAAACTCGTAGGTAAAATCCAGTAAGTTGAGTTACCCCAGCTGGAACTTTGCTTTTTCATTTTACAGTCGCTCTCTCTACCGCAAATCAGTCTTCACCAGGGAAGAAAGGATAAAGCCTTATTAAAGAATATCTATTACAAGAGTTCAGGATAAGCTATGTGTCTTTCAGCTGTCATCAAATCCTAATTATTTCTTAGAAATATTTATTACGGTCTTTTCCTGTTTTGTACATTAGAAGTCTCACTTTTTACAAGAAAAAACATTCAGAAACTAGAGGAGAGTGGGGAGAATCACAGAATCTGTCCCACTCCAGGTGACTACATAACGACACCTCAGGTTTTGGGTTGATTTATTTATTTTTCCCCCAGGCGTGGGGCTACATGTGCATATCAGGCCAGTTTGGGCTGGAGGGGCCCCTCTCTCCCACCTCCCTCCCATCCCCGGGGGCAGCATCTCTGGCGAGGTCCCAGGACCGTGTCCTAGCCCAGGGTCAGCAGTCACACCAGCGGGGCTCCAGGCACTCGGACACGGATCCCCTCTGACGCCAGGCTCTCGGCTCCGCTGGCAGGGTCTCCCCTTTTGGAAATGAAACTGGGAGGGGGGGGAAAGAGGTATGGTGGGTGCCAGGGTCAACCCACCACAGAGGAAACTGGGTGATGTTCTTTCTCGATGTTCATGGTGCCGTGGGTACGTGTTGTACAATATTCTCCATGCGGAGCAGCGGGCTGGTTTCGTTCCTTGGCACCTCGCTCTACGCTCAAGGACATCCGAGGTTAAACGCTTCATTATTATTCTGTCGTTAGCACCGTGATGCAATTCCCAGCCCACCGACAGCTGCCAGAGCAGCGTCACTCAGCACGCTGCCAGGAATCGCAAACGCGCGGGGCTGAGGCTCCTCGACAGCCTCTGGGACAAGAGTCCTTCCTGCTTTAAATATTGAATTTCTCTGCCATGTGTCTTCTGTATCATTAAAACAAGGAGCAGTGATGTAAATATAGGGCTGGGCATTTGGAAACGTACTGTGTATAACACATTACATTGCCGTGTTTTAGGCACGTTTTATCTCAGAATGAAAAGCGTTCCCAAACATTAAGTTGCACAAAATCCATGAATGTAAGATAAGTATCAGAATCATGCTTGTGTTTGGAGGAATCAGCCGATCCCTTGTGCTTTCTTCCCAAAACGCTCCCCTCGGCAGAGCTCTCCCGTACCTCCTCACTGCTGGCACCGCTGTTGGGGTCCCAGCAGAGCAGTCGGTCCACCGCCCCGTCCACCCCCAACCCGCTCCCACCAGCACTGGAGCTGTGGAATGTGCTGGAGCTTTTAGGGATTTATTTTTAAATTTTAGCTTTTTAGGGATTCCTGATCCCTAAAAAGGACTTTTCTCCAGCACACTCGCAAAGCACTTGGTGGCTGAACGCTTCCCTGGAAAAACACGATGCAGCTATACAAATACCTACGGCAGCGATAATGGCCCAAGCCCTGAAGGTGGATACACTAATATTAAGATTTTATGTGTTGATTAGGGACTGACGGTACTGCAAATCCTACTGGATATAAAGCAATCATATGCTCAATTTTATTGGTAGCATAGTTGGAGCCAAACTGCCTTTTAACCACATTCTCAAACGATGAAACTATGAACCCAGCCTTGGATTTTCTTCTGTAATTCAGAAACAATCAGAACACGGATTGGGTTACTTGGCCCAGCCGTGTTTGAACCATGGTTTACCTGAGAATTCCCACACGGAGAAAGGTTTAATGAGTATTAAATACTTCTGTGTATGCGTATGGGTGGTTCAGACGTGGTGTTTTTATCCCTGCACCTTCTGCTTGGTGTTGCAGAGGAGGTCTAGGAAAAAACAGCAAATGACAAGTTTACCTCCTTATTCCAGATGTGTAAAAGATGAATGACATACAGATGCTATCAATATACCCTTTAGCTAGCTACCAAACATCATCAACAAGGCTTCCACTGATTTTTTTAGTCCTTGAGGTTGTTAAAATAGAAAAAAAAGAAAGAGATTTCATTGTAAGTTTGGGACCATCAAGGTAGAATCACCAGTGTGGTCCTCTTGAATTGACAGGATGCAAAATGACAATATCCTGACAGCAAACAGAACTACTTGGGAGCGGTTTAGGTCCTTTTCTGCAAAACCTGTGTGCATTTCCAGAAATTGTGATTTTATTTTTGGTTGCTTTTTTTTGTTTTTTTAATCTCATGGCATGCCGTTTTCCTTCGAGCCCCATCTGTTTCAATCAGGCGATCACACCGTAGGGGAAAAAAAAATAATGAAATCCATAAAACGGCTTTTCTATTTGCACCGACGGCCACGAACGCCGCCTTAAAGCCTCGAGGCCAACAGGAAATAACAACACAAAGCCCTCTGCAGTGCTGCCGAGTTCTGACTTTATCGCATTTCTCTCCAATTCTTACGAGCTTATGCAAGACAAAAAACCAAAAAAACCCAAACCAAAACCCCTTTGGCGAAGGAAACGGCGCGGCCTCCCGCCGAGGGGGCGTGGCCACGTCTAGCCCCGCCCCCTCCCACCGGCGTGCCCTCCCGCGCCTGCGCGGTAGCCCACCCCCGCT